AATACCTTTCAGAACAAACTCAGAAATGTTAGCAAGTATTTTCTGCAAGCTGTTTTTGCAAATTACCAAGCACAGCGAAGGGCTTGAGTAAATCCCTTGTTTGCAGCCACAATTTTAAAGCGAAAGTGTGAATATTCTGAGCACCTAGTGTTTGTGGTTGGCGTCTGAAATGAAGAGGGAAGGCAGTCTTGTGGGATAGAGCCTTAACCTGTGGGGTCAGCACTAACTCTGATTAGTGTCAGAACTGAACTGGATTGTAGGATGCCCAGCTGAAACTGAAGAAGTGGATGGTGTGGGAGTAAATCTCATACATTTAGCAGCCAGAAGTATAATGTTTTGAGAATGTAAGAAGAGAAAATGCTCCATTGCTTTTGTTGTTGTTACTGTTGCTGTTTTTCCCAGCTTTAACAGATGAGGTAGGGTTTTGTAGAGCACCAACAAGATAACCCGTTAGCCATCTCACATAGGAAATCTCCCCCAAGTCTGGCTTTTTGATTCCAAACTCACACCACAGTATAGACCCCTACAGGCTGTGTGTGTGTGTGTGTGTGTGTGTGTGTGTGTGTGTGTGTGTGTGTGTGTGTTTGAATGTGCGTGCACATGCGTGTCTCCATATCTCTTCTCAGAGGAGTTAATGCCATTCAATGGGTTTCCAAAAATATCCCATCTCAGAATGGTGAGACTGTCATGTTAAATAGAGCAAAAATTAATTATGGGGTGTACTGACCATATAACTAAATTAGCTTGGAAGTAGGAAGAGGCCTCCTCTATATTACACACCACCCAAATAAAAAATTGGGAGAAACCACTCAAAGGAGTATGGTAACTCATGTTCTTTATGTAGGCCCATATGGCACTGAGTTTCTCTGCTGGAAATGAACATAAAATTTTTAGCAAAGGCTCAGACCAAGGTCATGAAGTAAACAATGAGTATGTGATTTCTCCACTCCCGATGATAATTTGCACATCACTGTCAAACTTGATTCTGACTTAACCTCTGTGAATTCTAGCCAGAGTGGTCAAGTGGTATTCACAGCACCAAGTGAATAATTGACTTTAGAAAGAACTCACTGTTTAATGATTTGTGGGTGTCTGTCATACCCAGCTGCGACAGTTTGCTTTAAATGTCACCGAAGGGCCCCAACTTTACAGGACCTGTCCTGGTGCTCTTGGCACATGATAGAGCCATTAGGATGTGGGGTCTAAGGGGAGGACCTTAGGTCATGCAACCCCAGTTATCTCCTTCCTTCTCTGGTTTCCTAGCTATGAGTGAAACAGGTTTGCTCTGACTGTGCTCCTGTTGTGTTCTCACAGGCCCATAGGACCATCTGATCATGGCCTTGAGCCTCTAAAACCCTGAGCCAAAATAAGTGTTTTCTCTTTCTTAAGAGGATTAGCTCAGATATTCCTTACAATGAATGAAACACTAAAGCACCAACCTATTCCCCAAACCAACTCAAATTAAAATGTAAAAACTGGGAGAGGCGAGAATGAGAGTCATATGTGAAGGCACTGGGTAATCTGTATACATGTAAATGAGTCCTTTGAAACATCCCTAACAGACACAACACAACACAGTGGACACCAAAGACTTAATAATGTCACTCTCATGTTAGAGTCCTAGAGAGGTGCAGGAGACAGGGCTTGCCCACAAGAACTGCTGATTCATGGGGACTTTGTCCCTGTCCAAGACACTTTTCATCAAAAATATAGAACCAAAAGCTATTCCAGAATACAACAGACGTGAACATATGTTACTTTGTGCACTGTGTAAGCTACAGGACTAAATTGAGTTTGTATATTAAACTCATTCACTTTAAACTCTTAGGACTGGAATAAATACCGCAGTGACACTTCTTGCAGGGTGAAGAATTCTTAGGCTTTTGGTTGTTTTTAGGGTGTTTGTTTAACCAGTTATTTGTTTATATTTGAGGTGACTTATCAAGTATTACAAGGTGGCCTCAAACTCACTACATAGCTAAAGATGACTCTGAACTTCTTATTCTCCTGCTCCTATCCCCTGAATGCTGGGATTACAAGCATGCGCCACCATGCCCAGCTTATGCAGGGCTAGGGATCAGACCCCAGTGTCTCACGCATGCTCCACAAGCACTCTACCAACAGAGCCAAATCCCAAGTCCCTAAAGAGTTCTTCGGTCTAGAAAATAATTGCTCTCTGGCTTCTCTCCTGCATAAATCAACTTTCTGATTTTAATTGTTTGTCCAATATGGTAAATATATCATAATTACAAGAATTTCAATATCCAGTAGGTCCACTGAGAGCTATATATAAACATGATATTGCCCTTGGGGCAGATATTAGTGCTGACAGCAGCTAAGGGCTTGGACTATGGTGCTTACTGATTTTACATATGCAAATAAGGCCGAAGTGGAAGCGCACTAGGTGCTCTCTTCTGACCACTTGTCCTTCTTTCCTTTCAGTCCCGGGGGGTATTTCCTGCTGTCCTGGTTCTTGCTGAGCATCTGCAGCTGATGATCATTAGGATGCCATTAACCTCCAAGATACCTCAGCCTCACTGTCTAGACCTATCCAAAATTCATCTCAACTCTTCTACCTAAATCCACAGGTCAGAAGCCATTTGCTTCTCAAGTGCCTTCATTACTTCTATTTCAGTGTGCTGCTTTCCTGGGTCTGTGAAAGAGGGGTGAGCGATGAGGATGCAATCTCTCTATTGCCTAGATTTGGAAAAATTCCCATTAAGTACTTTCTATAAAATACTTCCTACCTGCACTGCTATAATAGAAGACAAGGCCAAAAGCTGCCTTCCGGGCAGTGCATTGAAGAGCATTAATCTATGCTGACAACCTGACAGCCTCCATAAAGCGTGCTGGAGACACAGCGCGTCCACAAGCCTCATTATTCACTTGTTTAACAAATGCAAGCCCAGAGAATTTGGTCACTGATTTCTGCCATAACAGGAGATTCAGCAGCTCCACTTGAAGCCTCAATTATGAAATATGTCACCTTGTTCTATGTGTTCCCTCCTCTGGCTCCTGGGGCCATGTGAGACCACCTGCTTCTGCAAGCTGTATTGTTGCAGGCTTTATGCTCCGGTGGCCCCCATGCTTTATCCTCAACCTCTCCTCATCCCAGCTTCGAGTCCCGACCCTCATCAAACCTCTCGATAGCCTAAGTGACAAGGTGTTTCCTCTTCCCGGGGATGAACTCATCTAGGAAAGTGTACGGTCTCTCCTGCCATGCTCATCCTCGTAGACAGCATGTCACCAAAGCGATATTATTCCCGCACAATGTCCTGCTCCCTGCCCCATCACCCTGTCTGGCTACTGGAGGACAGGATTGGGCTAAGTTCAGCCCAGCAGCTCTCTTAACTGAACAGGCATCAGCTTTGCTTGGAGGTTGTGTTAATTGTAGATAGAGGGGCCATCCTGAAGTTTCAAGCTCATGAAGAGAATTCGGAGAATGTACATACCTTGTGAAACACTGTGTCTAGAGAGATGGGTACTCACCTCAGATAGGGAACCCATGACAGACCAAGGAGAGGATACCCTCAAAGTCCAACTTAGTGAATCAATAAGTTTTGGGGAGGTTACTTACAGAACTATGGGTAAAGGCTAACCTCAGGAGCAGGAATGACTCAAGAATGCCTTTGCAGACCTCTCCTATGAAACTGATGGTGCTGGTCTAGGGACCACGCCCTGAGAACCACTATCCTGGTGGACACTTGTGGGTTCTGGAGCCAGAACTACCGATTTAACTACTTACCGATTGTGTAAACTTGGGCAAGCCACTTACTTTCTGAGCCTCAATTTCCTTACTTGTACAATAAAGAAAATGTCACTGAACCCATTGGATGATTAGAGGAAAATGTGGGCTAATGTGTGTGAAACCTTGCTTCTACAGTAGGCATCCAAAATAGCACCCACAGCAGCTACTGGAAGCAGTTAATGACAGATTCTCAAGCCAGGGCTCAAAATCCCTTGGGCATTGTAAATCTCAAAGTGGAAGCCTGCATCCTAACGAGGCACCTGGAGGGGCACTGGAGGCCTGGAAGCTTCTAAGCTGAAGCTCTTTTTCCTCCCAGGTAGCAGAAAAAATGCCTTTGGTCCAAGCCTGCATACTCCCCAGAGGTCAGCAAAGCAGAGTTTCCCAGGCCTTCCTGCACCCCCAGGGAGAGAGCCCCATTTGCATTTCTGTCGCCTTGCTTTCAACCCTTTCTTATCTTCATGTTTTATTCCTCATCTGTAGACTTTCAGGAGCTCTGGGTTTCCTGGGCAGCCACTACTGCTGCAAATTCACGGAGAATCAACAAAAGCAATAGCCTCGTTATTCAATGAGTGGACTGACTTTACTCTTGAACTGCAGAACACAGACCTAAGAATAATGACCACCATGAAAGGATGGATATGAGCAACAACTAAACATCTGTTAAACAGGATGGAAGGAGAGCCCCTGATTGTTAAGGAATGGTGTGGCTCTGGTGTTTTGTCTCCATCCTCAAATTCAAGTACAGCTGTAGATGATCCAGTTGTGGGTTAAGTCTGTCCTTTAACATCATCCAATTTGTTTAGTTTGAGCCCCATATAGTAAGGCTAATGATGGCCTAGGACCAGAAGCAATTTTAATTTTCTAAGACAATGCTTAGCTTCTTTCCAAGTCCTTAGCCGGTTATGAAATTCCATAAATCTAACTCAGTGATTCACACACTTTCACGCAATAACCACTTAGGAAGCTAATTTAAAAGGACAACTAACTCTCCCTTCCTCCATTCTATCCCAGTCTGCCCCTAAGGTTGCTGGTGTTTGCATTTTAACTAACTAACGGTTGCCTGGGCTCTGCTCTGCAAGGCCCCAGAGTTTCTCAGGCCGAGACACACAGGCCTCCTCAATGCTTATACTGCATTCTCAGTCACGATGTTCTCACCAGACCTGCCTAGGATTCTGCAATCTAAGCCCCTTTCTTTCCTCTCCCGTGTTCTTCCCTCTTTACCTGGGAATCCAGTCCCTCTGCCAACTAATAAAGCATACCTGAGTGTGCAATTTCGAATCTACAGACGTCCAAGAATAGGTTGGTAAGAGGAGAGAGAAATAATGAAGGAGTTGAACTGTCTTTTCTGTGCTTCCCAGAAGTTATGTATTTCTCACATGGTACTTGAACAGCAAAGGAAAATAGACCTGGCAGAGAGGAGGAAGTTGAAAATCAGTCTCACTCCTCACAGGATCCTCTTCTTCACCCATGACTGTCCAGTGCAGTAGCCATCAGCCACCAGGTCTGAGAAATCCTTAAACCATGGCCAGTCCAAAGTGAGACGTGCTGTAAATGCAGAGCACATACTAGATTTTAAAAACTTTGTGCAAAAAAACAATTAATGTAAATACTTCATTTTATATTGGTTGCATGCTAAAAATGGTAATATTTTAAGTAACTTGGTTAAACAACATATTTTACTAATCTTACTTGTTTTCTTTTCCTTTTTTAGTATGGCCACCAGAAAAGCTAAAATGGCCTGTGTTGTTCGCATTGTATTTCTGTTAGTGTTGACCCAGAATTTCATTGTCCAGCAAAATAACCACAAATCATATGTGGCTATTCAAAAATATTTCTATTTAAGTAAATTAAATTCTATTTAAGTAAATTAAAAAGTCAATTCATCTGTTGAACTGGCCACAAGTGCAAGCTTTAATGGCCATAGGAGGCTGGTGGCAGCCATATTTGATGGGAATTTTGCAGAATGTTCTTTTGAGTAGATCCAATCTACCGCTTCATATGGCTGTGTATTACATGGAATTATCTCCCCTGAACTCATTGATATAGTTTGCATTAGAAATCTCACTCCTTGACCAGGTTCAAATCCTAAAATTTTCTCTTGTGCTCAAAGCCTAGAATGTTGCTGTCATGGCTCTAAAGTATCCTTTTGGGGAAAACACAAATGCAAAGAAGCTACCATCTCAGGCTGGCCGCCTGGGTCCTCCTCTCTTAATCCAGTGCCACTGTATTGGCTTCCTACTGCTGCTGTAACAAGTTGTCGCAAAACATGCAATTCATGACATTGATCTGTTCTCTTGAAGTCTGGATGCTACAAATCTAAATCCAAAGTGTGGGTAAAGCCAGCTGTATGCCCTTGGAAGCTTAGGGAAACATCTCTCTTACCCATTTCAGCCTCTGGGACTGTTGCATTCCTTGGCTCCCAGCCATACCTCTCCACTCTGCTTTCATCTCCACGTCACCTCTCCTCTTTCTTCTCCCATCCTTCCTCCCTCTCATCTTCTGGTTGCACTGAGTCCGTCCAGGTAACCCAGGATCATCTCTCCATCTCAGCGTTCTAGTTGAGTTATATCTGCAAAGTCCCTTTGGCCATGTGAAATGGCATATTCTCAGTCTCTGGGGACCAGGACGTGGACATCTGTGAACTGCTGCCTATGAAAACCTTACCAAGAGGAACAACACTTTTTCTGACTTCTGCTTGCTATGTCAAGAGCCCAAGTAGCTATGTGTAATCCAGGGAAACCTCACACTCCATGTGTTTTTTATTAAAATGACTTCATGAAAACCAAACAACTAAGAACTCCCCAGACTACACGCTTGCCCACATGCCCAGGGCAAGATAGGAGTTTTTTCTATTAGGAAGTCAGAGCATTGCTTCATATCAAAACCTGACTTCACTGGAGTATTACTGTCACCCTTTCTCACCTCCATAACCACCCCTACGTGCCATATCCCTTACCCAGAAGAGAAATAATTCAGCCTGAAGTCAATGGCATAACTTACGTGTTGAAACCATCCCTAGTTCAAAACCGGCTTGCTATCTGAAAGGAAGATTGATGATGAGCTCGTCTCTGAATCACTTGAGAGGTGTGAATTGAAGGTCATGATTGATTCAACCCTGGAGAATTCTTAGTTGATAATTTTGTAATGATCCATTGCAGGTTCAACAGCGAATGTTTTTGGGTTGCCAATAACATTTGATTTCTCTAGGTAGGGCAATTCCATAAGGGGGTCAGAAGTCTGGCTGCATGTGTAGGGGAAGATATCAAAGTAGAACTTACTAAGCCAAAATGAAAATAATTCATATAGAGGAAAAGTAACCACTGTTGTTGTGCAGCTGTGGACTCTAGAGTAAGACTGTGGTTTCACAAAGGAAGACAATAAATATCCCCAGAGCACCTGACCCTACGCATAGGGGTCAGATAAAATACTGGGCATTAGTGGGGAATGTAACTCAGCTGGTAGCATGTACTCTAGCATATAGCAGGCCCTAGGATGGATTCCCCAGCATGACATCAGGTTGGAAGCACACACCCAAAATCCCAGCACATGGGAGATGGGCACAAGAGGATCAGAAGTCCAAGGTCATTCTTAGCCACAAAGTGAGTTCAAGAACATCCTGGGGTATGTGAGACCTTGTCTGTCTTAGTTAGGGTTTTTTATTGCTTCGAAGAGACACCATGGCCATGGCAACTCTTATAAATAAAAACATTCAATTAAGGTGGCTCGCTTACAGTTTCAGAGGTTCAGTCCATTATCATCAGGATGGTGTGCATGGCAGCGTGCAGGCAGATGGGATACTGCAGCTGAGAGTGCTACATCTTGACTCAGAGGCAACAGGAAGTAGACTGACTGTCATACTGAGTGAAGCTTGAGAACAGAGACCTCAAAGCCCACCCTCACGGTGACACACTTCCTCTGGCAAGGCCACATCTCCTAACAGTGCCACTCCCTTTGGGGGCCATTTTCTTTCAAACCACCATACCGTTTCAAAAAGAAAATAAAAATTAAAAAAAAAAAAAAAAACCTGAGTGTCACCAAAAAGAATTTAGAAGGAAAGTGAATATGTTCTCATTATTAAACAATCATTTATATTATTAAGAAAAACAATCCTCTCAGGAAAAGTTTCAAATACTGTTCATGATATTCAAATCCAGCTCATTATTTGTTGGATGTTGTACTGCAGGTTGCTATTCAGTACTGAAAACTCAAAAGAATCGAGAACAAATAGAAGCCGGCTGTATCCCCATTCCTCCAAAGTTCCTTAAGCTTTCTGCTTCCATACCATCACCACCCAACTCATTCCCTCCTATGCGCAGATGTCATCTTCACCTCTGTGTCCCTTTCTCTCAGCCACCATCTCCTCCCAATGTGCCAGGTTCAGAGAATTCACAGGCACAATTCAGGACATGGAAATTCTCCTTCCTGGTTTTGGCTTAAAAGCCAGTGAACCCACTCCAGGTTATTCCAACCTAATCTGTAGACTGGATGGCCTGTCATCAGAACCAGTTCCAAGTGAATCAATGATTGAGTTTCTTGGGCCAACACTAGCTCAAATGTAGCCTTGATATGGGGGCTGGCTAGTTTGTTTTTTTTTTTTTTTAATCTACTTTACATAAGCTAGAGTCATCTGAGAGGAGGTAACCTCAACTGAGAAAATGTTTCCCTATGATCTGCCTGTAGGTAAGCCTGTGGGATATTTTCTTGACTAATGACTGATGTGGGCAGACCCAGTCCACTGTGGGCTGTACCACCCTTACACAGGTTGTCTTGAGTCATGCAAAAAAGAAGGCTGTGAAAGCTATGGGGAGCAATCCAGTAAGCAGCACTATTCCATGGCCTCTCATCAGTCCCTGCTTCCAGGTTCCTGGCCTGGCTGAGTTCTTGTCGTGACTCCCTCAGTGATGGACCATGACCTAGAAGTATAAGATGAAATAAACCCACCCCTCCCCAAATTGCTTCTAGTCATGATGTTCTATCATAGCCATTGAAACCCTAAGGCAGTGTACACATGGAAAAGAGGGCACTGCCATGGTCTGTTTTCTAGTTCTGTAGCAGAATCCTTAAACTTGAGTACTTCATATAGGAAAGAAGTTTGTTTAGATTGATAGTTCTGGAGTCCATGTAGGGAGGCCCATATCTGCTGAGGGCCTCATGCTACTTCATAATGTGACTTAGGAGCAAGAAGAGGAGATGAAAGGTATCACTCTGCTTTATAGCATAGGGTCCTTAGATCACTCCAAATGACCAGAAGACACCCGATATGCAATTGCAGAAAGCAGCTTTATTCTCATGAAAAGCCAACATGCTGGAGCCCACCCAAAATCGCTTAGACCCCAGGGGAGAGTAAGGCAGGCCCTTTTAAGCCTGTTTAGGGGAATTCCAGCTGTGGTCAAGTATACTTTGAAGTGATTGGGTATAGACCCTAACTGATACAGGAATCATTTTATGATTGGCTCATGACATCTGGTCAGCAACTGTGGTTACTCTGTCAGGGATCTGTTTGCTGTGTCAGGGGTCTGTCTGTCTGAAAATAGCAAGGACAGCTCCTGCTTATAGCTGGGTAGGACCCTGATTGGCTACCAGACTGGACTTACTTCCTAAGGGTCTGGTTGAAACCAGACATGAGTCAACATAAGAAACTAGCCCCTAGCAAAAAACAACTGGCCCTGGTCCCTCCAACTGCAAACCTGCTCTTAGGATAACCAGTGCAGCTCCTACAAGGCTAGAGCACCATCCCCTCTATGAGAGTGTTATCCCTTAGGACCCAAATGCATCTCAAAGATCCCACTCCCCCATGATCCTATGACATCACACGGGCTTAGATGGAGACCAACTGTATTCAAACCATAGCACATACCTTCTACCAGGGTGTATTCTGCATTCAGGATCCTCCCTGTGGAAATACAGAAATGAGTGACTCAGAAACCTAACACTAAGCAGGAGTGAGGGATGGTTGGGGAGGATGGGACTCGAGGAGGAAAAGCTAGCCAGCCTATAGCATGGATCTGATCACCAGTTTGGGGGAATTGCAGTCAGTCTTCCAGGATTGTCCTTCTCAAGGTCAGGAAGCTCCTAGGTCAAGGGCATCCTCTGAGGTTTAACATCACTGATTTCCTGGCTCCTCTCCATTCATCTCTAATGCAGAATCCTATGCCCAGGTGGTAATCTCATGACCTGGGATGACACCAGAGGGCCACTGCAGTCTCTGGATTTCTGCTTCTCTCATCCCTTACCACGTATACTCTGAAAGCATGTGGTGAGGCTCCTGCAGGCCCATCTGAGACTTGAAGCAGGTGTGCAGCAGAAACTCCCAGGGTGCCCTTCAGAATATAATGAAAATGGGCTGGAGTGATGGCTCAAGAGTGAAGCCGCTCTTCCAGGGGGCCTGGATTCAATTCCCTGCATCCATGTGGTGACTCAGAACCATCTGTAACTCCAGTTATAGGGGATCCAGTACACCACCACCACCACTACCCCACCCCACCCCCGGTCTGGTCTCAAGGCACTAGGCTCAAGTGGTATACCGACCTGTACACAAGTGAGACACTCATAGATATTCAAAATAACAATTAAAATTCTCAAAAGTGAAACAAACAAACAAACAAACAAACAAATAAACAAAAACTCAGAAACTCTACAAGACAATGGTAAAAATTGCCCCAAAACATGCAAGGCTCTGCTGGGGGGTGTCTTTCTGTATGCCGTGAATATATGTTGTTCCAATTGGTTAATAAATAAGCTGTTTTGGCCTATAGCAAGGCAGCTTAGAGGCAGGCGGGAAATCCAAAACAGAGAGAGGAGAAGAAAGGCAGAGACAGAGGATACACCAGCAGCAGAGGGAACAGCAAGATGCCAGCAAACCAGTAATGTTACCTACAATTACTTGGTAACTTATAGATTAATAGAAATGGGTTAAGTTACAAGAGCTAGCTAGCAAGAAGCCTGTCATAGGCCATGCAATTGGTAATTAATATTAAGCCTTTGAATGATTATTTTATAAGCAGCTGAGGGACCACGGGGCTGGGTGAGACTGAAGAAAACTTTTGACTACAAGGCTCTGGTCTAATTCCTAGCATATACACATGTGTGAACATACACAAGTACAGAGAGAGAGAGAGAGAGAGAGAGAGAGAGAGAGAGAGAGAGAGAGAGAGAGAGAGAGAGAGACACAGAGACAGAGAAGGGAAGGGAAGGGAATGGAGGGGAGAGGGAAAGAGGAAAGAAGGGAAGGAGAACAGATAGGAAAGGAGGGCAGGGCAGGGT